CTGCACACTGGCTCTGTGCTGCAGGGACCCTGTGGCCAGACTCGCATCCTTCCTGGAGAGAGCTCCTGTACTTTTACAAGAACCCATCCCCAAAGGACACCATTTCCTCTTCCCATTTCACAGAAGAGGAAATCGAGGCCCAGAGAGGGAAAGCAGAGTGGTGGGCCTAGGGCCATAAAAGGAGGGAGAAGGGGCCAGGGCAGGCCCCTTCCTCCTCAGCCTGAGCTCTGCTCCCAACCCAGCTGCCTTTCTCAGGTCTCCTAAGCCTCCCCATCACATCCCCCGCCCTCCACCTCTCTCCCCCAGAGGCCCAGAATCTGCTGGCCCAAACCTGGGGTCAGCAAGGGGCAGGGCTGGGATAACCTGTGCACTTGAGGTGGAATTGAGCTCAGATGACCTGGGCTGGGCTCTGCGGCCGCTAGTTGGGAAAATGCCCCCATGAGGTGAGGCTCAGTTTTGGTGATTTTGGAGGATCCTGGAATGGGGGCAGGTGGCGGCTGGGAGTGTGAGAGCGAGAAGTTCCCAGCACTGTGGGTTTCTGTGCAAAACAGGGGCTGTTCTCTAACTGACCGAGCACCTGGAGTCCTACTAAGAGCTTTACACACCTGTCTCACCTCTTCCACCCTCACCGCCACCGCCCGGCAAACATCAGTGACACTCCTTCCCAGGAGGCAGGCAATCTCACCGCCTCCTTACCGATGAAGAAACTGAGGCTCTGGCCTGCATATGGACACCAACTCTTTACTGCCCATGTCTATTCTAGGGCTCCCTGACGCTCCATGGCTCCAGCCACCTTTCCCTCCTCCCTGCTTGAAAACCTGCCTTAAGGTCCATCTCTTTCCCAAGCTCCTAGGGTCACAGAAAGTGCTGGAAGCGCAGGTCCTGCTCCAAGTGGCTATGGATGGCGGGAGGAGGAGGGCCCTCCGGGCTACCCTCCCCTCTCTTTCCTCCTGAGGTGCGCCCAGACCCTCCCTGACCCAAAGTCAAGTTTGCTCTGGCCAGGCATCCGGGCAGCCGCCGCCGGTCTAAGGCAAAGATCATGGGAAGGATAAACATTAACTTCAACTCGGCCTGCGCTCCGAGCCCCTGGCACTGAGCGCCCAGGGACCTGCAGGTAGGACTGCCAGCCCTGATTCCCCTCAAGCTCCGGGTCCAGGTCCCCCTCACAACCCAGGCCTCCAGCCCGTCCCCCTCCCCCCGCGCCGCGGGCCCCGAGGGCGGGCGCCGCGGCGGCCCCGCACCTGTTCGGCCCCCGCCCGCCGGGGCCCCACCCCGCGGCCGAGGAAAGGGAAAGTTGCAAACAGAACCTCTCCTGGCGCCCCAAGCTGTAGGGTCGCGGGATCCGCGGCCCTGCGCCCCTCTTCCCCCAGATCCGCTCGCCGGGTGCAGGGTAGACGCGGCACAGCACCCCTCATCAGCTCAAGTTTCTTTGCTCCTTCTCAGGGCACCCAGGATTTTGTTCCCCCCGTCGCCCCTCCCCCCGCCCCGCCGCTCCCCGGGCTTTGCACACGCCGAGTCCCGAGACTCCGAAAGTCCTTTTCCAGGTCCCGGTCTCTTCACTCGCTTTCCCGGGCCCTGCACAAGCTACCCAGCGGCCCCCGAACCCCACAGGTCCAGAGGGACGTGCGCCCAGAGGGTCTTCGGGCTCGCATGATCCCCCCCAGCGCCCCAGGCCATGCACACACCCACCCCGAGGTGTCCAGCAGCCCCCAAGGGGCACCGAGCCCTGCCCCAGCCGCGCCTCCCTCGGGTCCCTGAGTCCTGCACGCGCCTCCCGGGCGCCCCGCCAGCCCGTGCCCCCGGGGCTCCCCGGCTCGCACGCGCCGCGCCTCCCGGGGGCGGGGGCTGTGGCCCAAACTCTGCAGCCTCACCGTGTTCTTCCTGGCCACCATCTTCTCTAGCTTTTTGGCGATCCTCAGCAGCTCCTCTTCCTGGCCCATGGTGGCCCACGACGCCCGCCGGGGCGAGGGGAGCGGGGGCAGCAACTGGGCCTCGGGGGCAGGAGGCGCAAAGGCGGAGGGCGCGCCACCCGCGCGGGCCCCAAACACACACGGCACACACGCCTGGCGGGGGCGGGGCTCTCCCCCACACCCCCCTCGGCCGGCCGGCCTCCAAACGTGGGGGAGGGGTGGCGCGCGCTAAATATAGACTTCAAGGACTTGCTCGGGCAAAGATTGCCCGCGCCGGCCAGTCGGGCTTCCCGAGAGGGACGAGGCTGCGAGAGAGGGCCCTTCAGCTCGGGCCCTTCCTGGGGGGCCAGGGGCTGAAGGGAGACTTGGGGAGGAGCGGGTCTCTGGCGAGTGGGGAGGCCGTCGTCCCGGGACACGAGAGGCTGTCGCTGCGAGGAGGGAGCCTGAGGGCGCCTCGGAGCTCCGGGAAGACTTCTGGGCTCCCGCGTCTCTGCTCCGTTGCAGCTCAAAGCGGGCGGATCTAGCTCCGTGCCGATGCCCCAGTGGGGGCAACTTGGTGTACTGGGATCACGTTTTTGTGCACTGGGATCACGTTTTTGTGCAGGTCATTAAATCCAACTCTGCTCTATCCTGTGCTTATACATATATCCAGGCCCCCTCTTCTGCCGTCTATTTGTGTGTGTGTGTGAGGAAGATTGGCCCTGGGCTGACATCGTGCCCATCTTCCTCCACTTTATATGTGGGACGCCTGCCACTGTCCGCGCCCGGTTCGGAACCTGCGGACCCCGGGCCGCCGAAGCCGAGCGCGCGAACTTCACCACCACGCCAAAGGGCCGGCCCCTATTTTGTTTGTCACAGTAAAGTTTTGCGTTTCTAACAGCTTCCCCGAGTGCTACCGGTGCTGCTTCTCCCAGGACTGCTCTCTGAGTAGTGAGGGCTTGGGAGATTGTTAAGTGCACCAGACTTTGAGAAATACTGATCCCGGTGCATGGGTGCCCTTATTTATTCAGGGTCAGGCTACTGCCTCCCCAGTGGGATTGGGTCTGGAAGGGTCCATTTTGGGTGGAGGGGAGGAAACAGCATTGTGCCCCCACAGCTGTGCACACATCTGTGGAAGGACCTTCCAAGTGTCCCCAGCAGACCCGTGAAGGGTCCTAAACAAGTGAGTTTAATTGACAGAAAATGATCTTTATTGCCGGGAGGATGCTTAGGGACCTAGAGTGGAGGCATGAAAAGCAGTCCACAGTGTGTGCAGGGTGGGGAGCTGTGGTTTGGGGTGCTCACTGAAATCTCCAGACTTTCCTGAGAGAACCTTAGAGAACCCCATCCCAGCCTGGGTCATGGAGACAGTGTAGTGTGGATTCATGTGGCTTCTAACTGCTGCTGTGTGACCTGGGACAAAGGTAGAAAGAGGTGGGTTTTTTCATTCATTCAACAAATATGTATTGAGTGTCCAAGCAAGGAACAAGACAGACCCAGTCTCAGCAAGCTTGAGATTTGGTCTGTAGGCAAGAGAAACCCTAACCGAATTTGGACACAATCAATTCTGTATTATCACAACTGGGGTGAGGGTCAGGAAGAAGGGGGGATACCTTAAGGACACATTTGAGGGGACCTGCATCAGTTGGGGTGTCATCTTCTCTGAAGAAACGAAGTTTAAACTTTGGGCAGAAGTGCAGGGTGGGATTTGGGGGGAGGAAGGGAGTGTTCACGCAAAAGGAAGAAACATTCATTCATTCAACGTATATTTATTGAGCACCTACTTAGTACCAGGCAGTTCCACCCTGAGCATCCAGGGAGGAACAAACTGCTCTTCCGGGAGTTCCCAATGTGCAAAGCTTAGGGGAGGGAGGGTGCTTGGCTGTCAGGAAATCAGCGTGGCTGCAGCACCGAGGTGAGAGGAATGTAGCGAGAGGCGGGGCAGAAGGTCGTAGGTGGGCGGGGTCTGCCACGCAAAGCGTTGTAGGCCATTTTGAGGAGGTTAGACTTGAACGGTTTTGGGTTTGAGGAGTCTCTTGGCCAAGCCCCTAGGAAGTCCGTCTGGGTTGAAGGGACAGCTGTCTGCAGTTACTTAGGATTGCCTTTTAAAAAATAAAAGCAGATTTAATTTTCCTCAAATTCCACCCAGTTCCCACCCTGAGGTGTGTGACATTAAAAGAAGCCAAGACACCCACATCATCAGGGCTGAAGGACACTAAGAAAACATCAAGTCTGACCCCTTCATTGTACAGATGAGAAGACTGAGGCTGAGAGAGGCCCAGGGTTGCACTGCTCAACAGTATCGGACTCTGCTGGTACCCACCATATCCCCCTGCCTGCCCAGTATCCCTGGAGATCTCTGGCAGGCAATTCCTGGACACACCTCCGACAGCTTCCCACATCTCTCTGAGGGCTTCCGGGCAAGCTGGAGGTGCTTGGGGACTGACACCCCCAGGAAGGACCCCAGAGTTGGTGGTAAACACACCAATGTCTTCACTCTCCGTGGGACAACTTGAAGGCATGTTCTAATCAGTATAGTCTCTCACAGGTCCCCAACAAGATAAGCCCTAGTGGCTCACGGTGGTAGCCCCTCATTAACACACTTTTTATTGTTTTTTGCCCTGTTTCACTTCCCTACTCCCTCATTATGTTTCCTGGGATCACTTCACAAATAATAAACTACTTGCCCCCAAATCCTGTCTTGGGGGAAATGAAATTGAGACAGGGACTGTGGCAGAGCTAAACCACAGGTCTCCAGACTCCTCATCCAGTGCTCTTTCCTCCACACCTGGGTTTCCCAACCTCCGCACTATTAACATTTTGGACTAGATAATTCATTGCTGTGAGGGGCAGAGCTGTGCATTATAGGATGTTTATTTAGCAGCATCCCTGACCTCTAGCCACTAGATGCCAGTAGCACCTTCCAGTTGGGAGCAATCAAAAATGTCTCTGCATTGCCAAATGTCCCCTGGGCCAAAGTTGCCTCTGGTTGCAAACCATTGCACTACACCAGGCTGTCTCCTTTACTGGGTCCAGAGAAAGAATTCCAAGCCCTAAGATTCCCTGCCCTTCCCTATTGCTCTTCAGATCACATAAATGAAACCACTAGAATTTACTCAAAAAAATCCTTTATTAGAGATGAGTGAAATAACAAGTCTGAGATGAACAAAACCAGACACTGAGGGCTCAGAAGACAACCTTGTTCCTGTGGGAACACAGACCAGTCAGGTCTCCAGAGTAAACAGTCCAGCCTCCCGGGCCAGACTGCCGCGTTGGCCGTTGGCACCCTCTGGCCTCCCGTTTGGCCTGGCCCATCCCTGCCAGCGCCTGGTGCCCAGCGACCGTAAGGCTGGGGTGTTAAAGACTGAGGATGGTCTGGATATATTCTAACATGGGGCTGAAAGCCATGCTGGAAATTCTGGCCCTGGGAAGTAGAGCCTATAACTGTTTGCCCTCCCATTTCTATCACTCCGCTTTCTCCTTTCCGGGCCCGTTCCTCCCCTGAGACCGAAAGGCTCCTGAGTTGACCGAGAGAAAGAGAGAAGTGAGGATCAATCATCCTGGACCGTTGCTTTCCTTCCTTCCTTAGAGGATTTAGACTCCTCTAAATCAAGGAGAGTGGGCACATGGGGGTGAGGCCTACTCTACTTCCCGGCTGGGGAGTGTGGCAGAGGTCCCCCAGGAGGCTGTGCTGACCCTCAAAAGGGGTGATATTTAGAACACTTATTTAACAGCCAGTAGAGCACGGGCATTGACCAGCCAGAATGGAAATGGGCTGCAGGCAGCTGCCGTGTCACACAGGGGCAAACCAGCTGATTGTCAGCCTGCCCGAGCCCAGGACCATCCCCAGGACTAGCCCTGCCCATTCCCAAGCCCAAGTTCTGGGACCAGCTTCCCAGCAAGGGACCGCCTCTGCAGGACCCTTGTCTTATTCATGTGGCATACGTAGAGCTGGAACTCAGTAAAGGAATACTAGACTAATGAAAGGCTGAGAAGACAGTTCCTAGTCTGGCAGAATCCCTGGTCTGGACAGGGAGAATGATGAAGGTGGGCTGGTCCTACTCTTGTGGAACCCCCAGACTGATGGAAGAAACACAGTCCTGGTCTGATAAGGGATTGAGGGTTCTGCAGCTGAAGCTAGCTCAGGAGATCCAGCCATAGGGCTCCCTGGCCCCTGGGGGGTAATGAGATAGAGGGGAAAGAACCACCATCATCCCTAACATGGAAGGGTCCAGTGTCCTTGGCGGGGGCACGGGCCCGTTGCAGGGAGGAAGGCCAGCCACAAAAGCACAAGGAACAGAGACAGCAAGACCTAAGGGAATGAACACCTCAGCTCCCCAGTCTTGTGGGCTCAAGTCCTAGCTCTGAACGTTGGGGTCCAGCATGGGGGTGGTCCAGGCATGCAAGGACCAGCAAGGAGCTAGTCTTGCAAAAGCTGCATAGAACTTGCCGGGAGAACCCCAGTCCTTGAGCCCTCTCCTTCAGCGAAGCCAATCTGGGGAAAGAAGAATGAAAATTGACATTTTCTAAGCACCTATTATACACCGGCTGTTTTATTTATTTATTTATTTTGTGAGGAAGATTAGCCCTGAGCTAACATCCATTGCCAATCCTCCTCTTTTTGCTGAGGAAGATTGGCCCTGGGCTAATATCCATGCCCGTCTTCCTCTACTTTATATGGGATGCCTGCTACAGCATGGCTTGACAAGCCGTGTGTCACTCTGTGTCTGGGATCCGAAGCTGCGAACCCAGGGCCGCCGATGCGTGAACTTAACTGCTACGCCACTGGGCTGGCCCCCACACCAGCTGTTTATCTCCCTCAGTTTCACTACTGTCCTATGGTGGGGTGGATGAAATTATCCCCATTTTACAGGCGATGAAACTGAGGCTTGAGGAAGGGAAGCCACTTTTCCAAGCCTCCACATTCTAAAGCCCGGGTTCTTATTATCATACATGTCTCAACAACAGGCATAAACTAAATGCTGGGTGACAGATACCTGGTTGTGGACACAGATTTGTGTCTGGTGCCTGACTATGATGGACTGGGGATGACGACTCCTCAGAGAGACCCAGCTCCTGCCCCCGCTATGCCCCACTCCCAGCACACACAACCAATGCCAGCCCTGAGGAATCCCCAGGGAACAAGGAACAAAGGAGGCTTCTTTCTCGGCACAACTGGCCTGTCCTATGCCCACTCCCAGGTTCCTCAACTACACATGTGTGATTGTTTGAGACTTTGTGATTCAGCAGGGAGAGGCTGGATTAAGGGTGACAGCTCTTGCCTTGTCCCTGTCACATCCCTCTATGCCTGGGAGCTGGCAGTCTCAGCGGATTCCAGGAGACTCCTGTACAAGAGGAGAGTTAGGTAAACCCAGGGCTGGTACACAGCCACCCTAATCCTGCCTCGTCTGCAGGGAAGTGATTCCTTCTCTGAGCAACCAGCCAGGCTGACACAGCTCTGTTCATCCTCCCCGGGGGAGCAGGCAGAACTTGGGCCTCATCACCTCTGCTGCTCCTCAAGAACTGGGCTTTCCCTGGCTTCACCGATCCTGAGCTGGAGCGGGAAAGGCAAGGAGGAGCTCCAGGACAGGGGCTGGCCCAACTGTGGCCGCCTGGCCCCATCTGTACCCCAGTCACGGGGAGAGGTCTCCCTCTCCCACACACCTACTCTTTGCCAACTCTGCCTCCCAGGTACCCTGCCACCGGCCCCCAGACCACAGTCCCGGAGCTCCTACCGGCATGTTTCTTCTAGGTAGAGGCTGCCTGGCTGAGGGACAGTCTTCGGCGCTCCGCACCCCCCGCCGATAGGAGCGAGTGCTCTCGGAGCTGGAAAGCAGGGAAAAGGCAACATGACCTCGTGGCCAGAGAGCCCCTCAGAATAGGGAGAAAGGGCTCAGGTACAGAGCAAGGCTGGGGGCTTAGGATGGGTGGGCAGAGGTCCACGAGGCCCCCAGGCCGGGTCCATCACAGGCCCCAGAGGCCTGGAACTGACCTCCAGAGGGCTCTGGAGATTTCTGCATGTCTACTCCCCAAACTCCAGTCTGAAAGGGTATGCAAGGAAGGGAGGACTGGAACCTGGGTTGGAGGTGGGGACAGAATGAAGACCCCACTGAGAGCCCCTAGAATAAGCGACACAGGTGGGACTAGCCTCAGCTACTCCAACTTCAGCAGTCTGAGTCCCCGACTCCTCCCCAGCTCTCCAGGTCAGACTCGGGAGGAGGTGTGTGAGGAGAAAGAGGTCCAATCACCCTGTACTTAAGGTCTAGCATTTCTTTGCTTTCTTTCTTTTTTTTTTTTTTGTGAGGAAGATCAGCCCTGAGCTAACATCCATACCAATCCTCCTCTTTTTTGCTGAGGAATACTGGCCCTGAGCTAACATCCGTGCTGATCTTCCTCCACTTTATGTGGGACGCTGCCACAGCATGGCCTGACAAGTGGTGCATCGGTCTGTGCCCGGTATCCGAACCCCGGGCCGCCAGCAGTGGAGCGTGCGCACTTAACTGCTAAGCCACGGGGTCGGCCCTGGTCTAGCATTTCTACATAAGTCAAGGGCCTCAGAGCTGGAAGGTTTCCCAGTCTTCAGGCCGGCACCATTTAGAGGTGGGGAAATAAATGGATGTTCAGAAAGGTCAGGAGACTTGCCCAGGTTGCACAGCCAGGTTCTCACCAACCTGAACCTGACAGGGGGATACGTCTCCGCAGGTGCGGTTCCAGATGGCAGGCTGGGTCGAGAGGCGCCCGAGGGCTCCCAGAGGCCCTCTTCAGAGCCGTGCAGGGTTTGGCTGGGACCCCCAGGTTCCACAGGGCTTGTGAGGCTGGAGAAGGAGGAGGCTGGACTGCTCAGGCTCTCAGGGGCCCCAGGGGGGTCCGAGCTCAGGCTGGGGACTTCAGAACGATCTGGAATTGGAAGTGATAAAGCCTGTCTTTATCACTTATCTGCTCAATTTCAAAGCAGTCTTTAGCTTCTGGGATCTATCATGGTTCTCTCCCAACTCCCCACTCCTTATCTACCTTTCCAGCATTCTCCTTCAGCTCCTCCCCATCACGCTTCAGCCTCATTCATCCACAACATTATTTGCGACAGCCAGGGCCACACTGTTTTGCTTCCGCTCATACCATCTCCTCAGCCTGGACTCTCTGCTCATCCCTCAGGCTCGGCTCAGATGCTACCCCTGCCAGGAAGCCTTCCTGAACCACCCCCAATCCTAATAGGACATGCTCCCTCCCTCCCCCGACCTTCTAGAACAAGCCGGTTCATTCATTCAGCAAATAGTTCTTGAGAACAGCCAAGCACTGTGGTAGGAGCTGGAGAAACGGTAGTCAGCAAGACATCCAAGTCTCTGTCCTTTGGGGATTTACATTCTATATCACACCATGCCTCATATTATAGTAATGGCACTCCAGTTTTTCTCTCCCCCACTAGCGTGTGTCTCAGTAGCCCCCAAAGGACTCCAGACACAGTGGATGCTCAGCAAATGCTTCTCTCTCTTTTTATTTCAGTGAAGCATTGGACGGACCTGGGTTTGAATCCCACATCAGGGACTTATTAGCTGTGGGATCCTGGGCATCTCACTTAACATCTCTGTTCCTTTACCTGTAAGAGGGAGATGATAACCCCTACCTGACAGGTGACCGTGAGGATGATACAGACTAACACATGCACTCTTAGCTCAGTACCCCAGCACACAGTAGGCTCTTGATGAATGGTATGATGAGCATTTTTCTGGGCAGCCAACCATACCTCCACTGGCATGTCCCGCACGCCCTTGGACCACAGTCCGAGAAGGATTTTTGACTGGCAAGGGCGGGGGGCAGTCCTCACTCTGGCTCTGAGGGCCGGCTGGTCCCAGGCTGGTAATGGTCTCATAGGTCTTGTTGCTGATGTCCAGCCTCCCACTGGCCCAGCGGACCTGGGCTGGGGGCTTCAGAGGGCAGCGCTGCTGGGGCAAAAGTGTAGGAGGGAAGAGAGCCTGGTTCCTCCAGTTCAGCTCCGCTCCTCCCCACACCAGGTCCCATCTGGCTCTTTCGTTCTGCTGTCTGAGGCCCAAGAGGCAGGGGCTGGGACCCACCTTCTCTTCCTCGTCCTCCTCACTGTCAGAGCCAGGTTCTGTGGAAATTCCCCAGGGGTAGTCCACGTGTAGGGGGAAGGCGAGGGTCCCAGCCTGGGCCTGCTCCAGCTGCCAGAAACAAAGCCTTGTTAGTTCAGAGGGTCGGGGGTTCAGCAGAGAGACAGAGAGAGTCAGGCGCTCCCCCTTCTTCCCCAGACCTCACCAGCTCCTCACACTCCTTGTGCTGCTTCTTCCTGGCTACGTCCAGAGCTGTTTCTCCAGCCTCGTTCACTGTGAGGGGTAAAATCAGGGGTCATGGTCAGGGTCAAAGAGGTATTCTGCTTAGAGCTTAAGATTGACCTCTGGAATTAGATTATCTGGGTTGGAACCCTGGTTCTGCTACTTCCCGGCTGTGTGACCTTGGCAAGTTACTTCACCTCTCTGGGCCTTAATTTTTCTTGTCTATAAAATGAGTATAATACTTGTAATTACCTGATAAGGTTGTTGAGAGGATTAAATGAGTTAATACATGCAGAGCATTTAGCACATTATCAGGCACATGTTAAATAGTAAATAGTGGCTATTATAATCATTATTTCTTATTCAGATTCAGCTAATATTTATTTGGTTAGGTACTATCAGAAACATTATTTTATTTATTTATTTATTTATTTTTTCCCTTTTTCTCCCCAAAGCCCCAGTAGATAGTTGTATGTCATAGTTGCACATCCTTCTAGTTGCTGTATGTGGGACGCGGCCTCAGCTTGGCCGGAGAAGCGGTGCGTCGGTGCGTGCCCGGGGTTCCGAACCTGGGCCGCCAGCAGCAAAGTACGTGCACTTAACTGCTAAGCCATGGGGCCGGCCCCCAGAAACATTATATTTTATCCTCTCAGCAGGCCTACTAGGTCAGCGGTATCATTCCCATTTTACAGATGAGGAAGCTGAGATTCAAGAGATAAAAGGACAAACCCCACAGTCACAGAGGGGGTCAGAGGCAAGGCAGGATTAGAATCCACGTCTGTCTGCCAAGTCCATGCTTGTTACCATGCTCTCTGTCTGGGAAGAAGGCAGCAAGGCCCGCGGGAGGGGTGTCAGGAGGCGGAGTCTGAGGAGGAGGTGTTGGAGCCCCACCTGTGCCCGTGGACGCTCTCCCTTTCAGCAGCAGCTTGAGGCAATCGGGTTGGTTGTAGAGAGCGGCGTAGTGCAGAGCGCTATTCCCATCAACAGCCTTGGCATCCAGGTGACCACTGTGCGTGGGGAGGTGGTCAGGGAGGGGGGAAGGGGAACAGACAGGTGAGGGGGTCAAAGTCAGGGGGAAAAAGAGGGAGAAGAGAGGAGGGTGGGAGAAGAGGAAGGAAAGGGGGCAGCGTGAGGAGGCGGACAGGCGGGCAGGGAGGTCCTCACCCATTTTGGATGATGAAATCCACCAGGGGCAGGGAGGCCTGGTTGGCGACTCTGACAGCCAAGTGCAGGGCGAGCTCTCCAGGTGCCTGAATACACGTCCACACCTCTGAGTGTCCCCCCAGTTCACCTGCCCCCATCCCAGTATTACCAGCATTGAACTCTTGCTGCCCTGACTGCTCTTGATATGAAGCTGCCAGAACCCCTGAGAGATGAGACTGAATGGATGGAATCTCACGTTTGGGAGGAGGTTGAAGGACCATTCCATCCTCGCTTCCTTAAGTGGTTCTGCCTCCTCTTGCCCCCCATAGAAGGTGTTTCCCAAACTTGGTTCTTGGCCCTGGGCTCCTCTCTCTGCTCCTCTCTCTCACTGCCCCCTGAGACCTCAGCTAACCTCACGCTTTCAGCCATCACTCAGGTGTAGGCTGTTCCAGATTCTTATCTCCCCTACACACTGCACCCTCACTGCCCCATGGACAGCCCCACCGAGATATCAAACAGCTCAAAGACAGGGCATCCAATGTTTGATGTCCAAGCAGCAACTCCTGCTGATTCAATCTTTCAAATGTCTCTGATAGCCTTTCCCCCTCGCTTCACAGATGTTGTTACTGGAATCACCAACACAATGGCATTCCTTGATCTAATCTGACCCACCCTACCCATTTCTAAGGCTATTCAAAGAAAAAAAATGATACTAACATTTATTGCACACATATTATGCACCACGCCCTTTACATACATGACTTAATTCTCACTTCAGCACTGTGGGTGTTATTATTAACCCATTTTACAGATGACAAAATGAGACTCAGAGAAGTTAAGTAACCTGCTCAGGATCACACAGCTAGGAATAGACAGCCAGGATTCTGGCCCAGGTCTGCCTGACTGAAGTTGTGTTCTCTCCCATTTACCCCACTGATGGGTGGGCTTTGAGCAGATGTCAGGGGTGGGGCAGAGGAGAGTAATAGCTGGTCCTGGAGGAGGACTGGGGAGTTATGTGAGTTCAAGTGGGTTTTAAGTGGCCCTTGGAGGTGGTTCTCACCTGCCCCTCCGGCCCAGGCAGTGGCTGTCCAAAGTCCTGCCCATTAGCGAAGGCCTCCAGGACCGACAGGAGGTCCCGGTTGCAAATGGCTATGCAGAGTCTCTGAGGCTCAGTTGTGGACCGCCGGGCGAACCTGTGTTCCACATACTTGGCCACGATATAGTCCCTGCGGGTGCTCCTGCCAACACAACCGGGGGATCTCAGAGCAAGGACCATTTCCACCCAGCTGACCCCGGGAACCATCCCCCAGGAGACACGGATCCCCTTTTCCCCAGAACCCGTCCTGGACTCTTCTAGATCTGAGGCTCCCGTCTCCCCAAATTTCTGGTCCAAGATCCATCTGAGACCCTAGGCGCTGGGGAAGCAGAATCCCCCAGCTAGGATGCCTCTCCATCTGGGAACCCCCTTACATGTCACTCTCAGCAGAGGGTTTAAGGCCGCCGTGTGAGGGCAGCTGGGCCTCCAAGACCTCATTGAAGCGTGTGTTTCCGATGTTCAAGGCCAGCTGGGGTTGAGGGAAAGTGGTGGGGGTGAGACCGGTGGTTACGACAGCGCCCACTGGAGGACTGAGCCCCCAGAGGTCCCGCCCCTCAGCCTTCCTCCCGGTCCAGGCCCCGCCCCTGACCATCCCCTTTCTGGCTCGTCTGGATCCTGCCCCGCCTTGGCCACCCAACAAGGTCTGGCGAAGCCTGTCGGGAAGTCCCGCCCCCTGATCAAGCCCCGCCCCGAGTCCCCCTCTGGCCCCGCCCCGCCCTCACCAACAGCTCAGAGGGGCCCAGCAGGTCCAGGGTGAGGGACTGCATGCGCGAGAAGCGCACGCCCAGCTCGCGGTGCACGCCGGAGCACTGGATGCAGGTGAGCACGCCCAGGTTGGTGCTGAGCCACGTGGGGTCTGCAAAGTAGAGCAGCTCGTGCCTGGCGGTGCGGGCCCCTCCCCTCCGCGTCCGCCTCCCTCCTCGCCCCCGCCCACCGGCCCCACCTGCAGCCCCGCAGTCGCAGCACTGGCCGTTCCCGGGCCTGCTCTTCACCTCGGCGATGAGCAGCTTGGTGAGGTCCTGGGGCTCCCCGTCCAGCCCGGCGCCCCCCCAGGGCCCCGGGCCGCTGCCGGGCTCCCCGAGGAAGGCACTGCTTAAGGCTTCGTCCTTGCTGTTCTGCAGCACCGACACCCACCTGCGGAGAGGGTGCGGGGAGGCGTGGGGTGATACCCGCGGTGGTGGGGTCCTGTATCAGGCCCGGAGGCTGGAGATTAGCTAAGCTCCCTGCCCCCACCCCCAGGCTGGCCGTGGGGGGCACTCACGCCTCACACTCGTGTTCGTCCTCCGCCTGGAAGTGGTATGTCCTGTTGTCTGTGGGGAAAGGAGGGCATGTCTGGTCCACAGAAATCCTGCTGGCCTTCCCCAGACCCAGGGAGCCTCACCCTTTCCTGACTCCCTACAGCAAGGCGGGCCTTCCGTCTCTCCCATCTCTGCTGGGTCCAGATGGAGCTTTTGTCCCTGTGGGGCCAGGCTCTGCCAAGCTGGGAGTGGGGGGGGATAATGACAGTGGCCAGCAGAGGGGGCAGTTTCTCACAAGTCACCTCCAACGCAGGATCCCAAGAAGGCCGTCTGTGTGAAGCTCAGGTTCCAGGGTCGGGAGGTCTCCCAGGGCACAGGACCACACGCAGCTCAGAGGCACGGTATCCTCTGAACTGGTGCGGCCCCATGCGGCCCCACAGCCTCCTGTCTGGTCTCCCTGCTCCTTATCTCTCACCCTTCCCATGGCCTGTACCAGCTGCCAGATCGTTGTGCCTAAGCTTCAGCTCTGATCAAGGCACTCCCGTGCTCCAAGATCCCCCATGGCTCCCTATTTCCAGGAAATAAGGGCCAAACTGTTAAGCGGCATTCCCAGGGCTCATCTCTCACTACTCCTATGTGAACCCTGCACTCTGGCCAAACTGGCCGGACCCACTCTCAAGCTTCCATGCTTTTCCTCATGCCAATCCTGTGTCCTGAAATGTCTTCCCCCAAACTCTACATTCTGTGTCTTTCAAGGCTAAACTCAAATGCTCTCTCCTCCAGGCAGCCTTTCGTGACTCCCCACAGCAGGACAGGCCTTCTCTCTCATCTTTGATGGTGTTATATCTGCAGCTCCCTTCTGGACACTCCCCGTCAGCTTGCAGTCCTAGGTCCCCGCATCACACCCCTGTCAGACAGAACTCCCTGAGGACCAGATCTAGGCCCTTCTTAGCCTGCGCTGGCCCCCATGTAAAGCCTGTCACCAAAGGCTCCAAAGGATAAACACTGAAATTTTTTTTTTTTTTTAGTGAGGAAGATCAGCCCTGAGCTAACATCTGTTGCCAATCCTCCCCTTTTTACTGAGGAAGATTGGCCCTGAGCTAACATCTATGCCCATCTTCCTCCATTTTTTTTATATGTGGGACACCTGCTACAGCATCGCCTGATAAGCAGTGTGTAAGTCCGTGCCCAGGATCCGAACCCATGAACCCTGGGCCGCTGAAGCGGAGCATGTGAACTTAACTACCATGCCACTGGGCTGGCCCCTGAAAATTTTAAAGTAATAATAATTTTGAAAGCCAAATTACCCAAATCCATTCAAATATGTTTTACAGAAATAATCATATTTAATGTGGGATGTGGGTGCATTTTAATGTTTAAGGTGATGTGGGGGGAATCCTCTAAAACAGTGTCCAGGGCGTAAGGAGTGTCATGTCTGCAGTAGCAGCTGTTTGATAAACATGTGGAATTGGACACAGGCGCCTCACTGAAGCCTCCCAGGAGCCTTGGGCAGTTGCGGGGAGGGGACAGGGATGACTTACGCGTCACCAGGTCAAAGCACTTCTTCTCCTCGGGGTTTGGCCTCACTTGGCACGTCAGCAGGGTCAGCTTCACTGGGGGCCGGTTTATCTGTGGGAAGTTGTGGGGGAGGATGTACACGTTACCCTCTGCGCCTCCCAAACTCTTATCCCAATCTGTTAAATGGCATAATAATCCTATGCCAGTTTATGTCTACCCCCCAAGACCAGGTTGGGGGCTGTGGGTCCCATCCTTCCTCCCACAGGGGGTCTCCAGCTCCCTGGATCCAGGTTTGGGGGCCAATCTTGGAGGGAGGGCTTGACACTTGTCTGCTCAGGACACCAGAGGAGAGGACCCATTGTGCCCTGAGACCCCCACCCCTCCAGGCCTCACCGTGCTGTGTGAGATGGTCAGGCAGCCATACTTGACTCCACATTTCCTTTTCTGCCAGACTCTTCGAATTCTAGGGCCCAGAGGGATAGAGAGAAAGTGACCGAAGGCTCATACCTAATTCCTCTGTATCAGAGAACAAAGTCCTGGACCAGGTCCCCAGCCCCACCTGTATGACCTCCAGCCATACCTCTTACCTCTTCTGTCCCCTGACTCCTACACCCCACACTTTCTGGGGCTCCTGCTGATGGAGGAGACACAGCCCTGCCCTTAGGAAGCTCCAGGCTGATGGGGGAAACAGCCCCGCTCTCTGGGAATCCTTATTCTAAAGGGGACCATGTGACCTTGGCCCTCTGAGAGCTTCTAGTCTGGTGGAGGAGACACAGCTCCCAACCTTAGGGAACTCCTAGTCTGAGAGGGGGAACAGGCTCTTGACTGCAACAGATGAATTATGGTTAAAGATAAAGTAAGACAAATATTGAGACTCGCAAAATAAAATTAGCAAATCCATGATCCAAAGCTACTTACACTTCTCCTCTTAGAGGTACATACTAATTGGTTTAACAAAGTTATTTTTCTCTGATAAAAACTGATTAGTAAGTAGAAACATGAACACATCCATAAGGGCCTTTGCATTTCACAGACTGATTTTTTAGTACCAGGGAGGAAGGCTCAGTAAACACTTTCATTTCCAGGCATATTCAGTATATTGTAGAGGTTAGGAATGGGGGCATGGAGACTGTCTAGGGCACAGTAAGTGCTCAGTAAGTGTTAGCTGCTGCTATTATTATTCTTTAAGTTTAATAAGTATTCTTAATTTAGGTATTCTTCAGTGACTTTTAGCAGAAGTTCACATGCCCAGGATTCTGATGAATTTGCATTGCCAGAGTGGACCCTGGAGCCCTCAGGGTCTACACAAATGATAAGAACAGTCCCCTTGGGCAGTTCCCCCCACCCTGTCATTTACTGGCTGTGTGACTTTGGGCAAGTTACTTAAGCTCTCTGAGTCACTTACCCATCACTTTTCTTGTACAGAAAGCCCACCTTCTCTGTCCCAAACTGCTTGTTGCCTTGGTGCTGGTGGATGCTGTAGCCACCCCCCGAGTTCTTCCGGCTCAGGTTCTCCTGTTCCTCAGACAAGCAAAGGAGACCTCAGGGCGTCTGGGTGGGAAGAGCCCCATTCTGCAGGCGTCTCACTTGGGGAGACTTCGCAAGGGGACCCTGAGGGGTCTTCCTTCTCCCCCTCCCTCCGTGGTGGGCCTCGGGGCAGGGCACTCATTTGGGGGTGACTCAGGGGCCGACCTCTCTGCTCTCAAGCTGCAGCGTCCCTCGGAGGGAGTCGCGGAGCTGGGTCAGCTTCTGCAGCTCCTCCTCCTGCGCTTGACGCAGCTGTAGGACCAGGACGGGACCCCAGCATCAGCCAGCAGATGAGCCAGGTGCACAGCCAGACCAGAGCAGCGGAGCAGTAGCCTCGCTCTCCGGGCAGCAGCCAGCTCCTCCACACCCCGATTCTCCCGGAAGGACAGGGGACTTGCCACATGCCCAAGGGTGAGACCCGACTTACTGCATGTACCGAGGCCGCCAGCTTCTCGATGAAGGGGGACAGGCTCTGAGCAGCCTTCCAGCCATCTTGGAAAAAGCTAAGAGGTGTGAGGCCAAACAAGGAGAGATGCAAATGAGAGGTGGAGTGTGGGAGAAGGTGCTCTGAGGACCGCAGGGCACCTGGGGGCAGAAGAGTCTGACCGTCAAGAGCAGGCACTCTGGAGTCAGAGTGTCTGGGTCCAGACCCCACTTACTAGCTGTGTGGTCTTAGTAAATCTGAGCCTCAGTTTCCTTATCTGTAAAATGGGATAACAGTACCTGCTCACAGGGTGTTGGGGGACTAAGATCAAGTGTATAAGGTACTTAGTGCCTAATGAAGAGGAGCTGTAAAACTCATTACCAATAAGGTACAGGCACACGGAGTCATCGAGGGCCTGCCAGGCCTGGGCATGGGCCTTGTTCTGTGTTGCCTGAAGGGTTAAGGGGCGAGGGACCCTGGGGGTTGGAGTGGGGCCATGGGGAGACCTACTTGTGCTGGGCGTGGAAGAACTTGATGAGGCTCTGCAGGAAATCGGGGCCTTGCTTCATCTGGCTCTCCCCGGCTTTCAGCAGATACTGGGGGAAGGGCAGCGCAAGATGTGCGATGTGAGCAGAAGCTTAATCCAGGGACTAGGGGCTGCAGTCCCCATCCCGGGCTAATCCTCTTGGCCATGACTGAACCTTGGCGACATCTCAAGGGCCATCTGGCCAGGACCTGAGTTGAGCCTGTGACTGGGCCCTGGGGGTTCAGGAGAGGCAGACAGGAAGATGCATCCCACCCCACCCTCCCCCAGAGCACCCCTTACCTCACACATGTGCAGCTGGAAGACGCGCCGCTCTCTCTGCGTGTCCTGGGCCACCTCCCCAGGGCTCCCTCCTGTCACCCTGGCCCGGTCCCTCTCCTTCTCCAGCCTGGCCCTAGGCCCCAAGGAAAGAGAGAGCTAAGCAACTCTCACCAGCCCCTTTCATGTCCCACCATCCCTATGTGCTCCTCTCTGCACAGGCACACGAGAGTGAGGGGCCCTCCTGGGTGCCAGCTGCGTGGTGGGCTCGGTACAACGGTGAACAAGACGGATTCAGGGAATCCACAGGGTGGGGTGGGAGAGAGACACGAATCAAATCATAGCCCTGAAGAGAGCGATGAGAGAGTAAAATGGGGGACCTCGTCCGTCCGGCTGCTCATGAAGTGATGTCTGAGCTGAGCTGGGATCTGAAGTCTCAGAAGTTGCCTTGGAGGAAGTTGCCTTGGCAGGAGGCAGAGGGATCAGGGCTCACGAGCAGAGATGGAGAGAGGGGTTCCAGGTGAGGTAAAGAGGGGCCAGCCCATGCAGGGCCTAATTAAGACATGTTAAGGTTCTTGGTCTTTGTCCCAAGAGCAATGGGAAGGAGTGAAGGTTTTTTTTTTTTTTTAATTTTTATTTATTTATTTTTTTCCCCCAAAGCCCCCGTAGATAGTTGTATGTCATAGTTGCACAGCCTTCTAGTTGCTGTATGTGGGACGCGGCCTCAGCATGGCCGGAGAAGTGGTGTGTCGGTGCGCGCCTGGGATCTGAACCCGGGCCGCCAGCAGCGGAGCGCGCACACTTAACCGCTAAGCCACGGGGCTGGCCCAGGAGTGAAGGTTTTTATGCAGGGAGGGGATGGGCTCAGGTAAGGCCAGGTGGACTTGGGGTGACCAATTCTGATTTTGCTGGAAGGGATTTAGGACCACAAAGTGCCTTCATTCTTCTGAGCCATGGAGCTTCCCATTTAAAGCTTACAAAACCTTTGTTCTTTTCTTTGTAAGTGAAGACAGAAAGTGCTTTCCATCCTTGTAGCTAAGAGTAACCTGGGCCTTCCCCTACAAGGATCTCAAGGGTTGGCTGTTTTCCTTCTTTGGGGATGGGTGGAACTGTGTATAAATGGTTTCCTGGAAATCCCACGCCCATCAGATCACCCACTCCCAGCCAGGACAGTATTTCCACATCTGGGGCTGGGCGCATGTGACCATGAATGCCGTGTAACGGAGAAATCTTGCTCAATAGTTTTGTTCCCAAGTGGGTGCCAGCCCTGAGCAGAGAAGATAGATGTGGGATATAGTACAAGCTGCATTACTTCCCCTCTTTGAGTCTCAGTCTCCTCATCTGGAAAATGGGGATCCTTATTTGTACCCAGATGAGATAAAGTAGGCAAAAGACTTAGCACAAAGAAGACACTACAGCTGTTATTATTATTATTATTATTATTATTATTATTATTATTTTGTGAGGAAGATCAGCCCTGAGCTAACATCCATGCTAATCCCCCTCTTTTTGCTGAGGAAGACCGGCTCTGAGCTAACATCTATTGCCAATCCTCCTCCTTTTTTCCCCAAAGCCCCAGTAGATAGTTGTATGTCATAGTTGCACATCCTTCTAGTTGCTGTATGTGGGACGCGGCCTCAGCACAGCTGGAGAAGTGGTTCATTGGTGCGCGCCCAGGATCCGAACCCAGGCCGCCCGTAGCGGAGCGCGCGCACTTAACCACTAAGCCACGGGGCCGGCCCCTACGGCTGTTATTATCATAGGCCCCTCTAGGTCCCAGTTTTCTTATCTGTAAACTAAGGAAGCAATGGCCTAGACTGAGGTCTCAGGTCCTTTCTGGCTCCAAAGTCCTGGGCCTCGCTGTCAGACCTCTGGGACAGTGTTTATATGCAGAATCTGTCCCTGGAGACCTGGGGAGCAGTTTCTCAACCTTGGAACTACAGAGATTTTGACCAGATAATTCTTTTTTATTATTATGTTTTGCTGAGGAAGACGCCCTGAGCTAACATCCGTTGCCAATCTTCCTCTACTTTACATGTGGGTCGCCACCACAGCATGGCTGATGAGTGATGTAAGTCTGTGCCCAGGATCTGATCTCGCGAACCTGGGCTGCCGAAGCAGAGTGTGCTGAACTTGAACCACTATGCCATGGCGCGGGCCCCCAGATAATTCTTGGGTGTGGGGCTGTTCTGTGGATGTAGGGTGTTCCACTAGATGCCAGTAGCATCTCCCCAGTTGTGACAACCAGAAATGTCTCCTGGGGGTGAGGGTTGGGGTGTAAAATCGCCCCTGGGTGAGAACCACTGTTCTAGAGCAGTTCTGCACGTTTTTGGCTTTTTTCTAATTTTCTTAGAAGTGGTTATTTTCCAATTCCCTAAAGCTTTATGATACCCCAAGAGGGAGTCTGTGATAGGGTGGTGGAGTTAGGGTGGGCACTGACCCTGTGAACTGGGCCTGCGAGTCAGGGCAGATGCTTTTTTTGGGATCTGAAGATGAGCAGCAGAGAGAGAGGCAGTGGCTAGGCCTGCAGTGTGTTAGCAACAATGAGCCTGGCAGCCTGCTAAGGAGGGTGAGAGACTGAGTGGGGAGAGCAGCTGAGAGGGTGCAGGCGAATCTTCCATATATATTGTTACCATATCTTTCAATAGTGAAAAATGAAAAATAAGCTAAATGTCTATCAATAGGAAGTGGTTTAAAAAATTATGCTATGTCCACATATAGGAATACTATGCAGCTGTTAAAAAGGATGAGGAAGATCTATATATACTGACACTGAAAGACATCTACTCCACAATAAATGGAGAAAAAAGGAAGCCACAATATAGTATAGTGGCTAGAAACGTGGATTCTGGATTTGAATGGCAGCTCCCTCACTTACTTAACCTTTCTAAATCTTTCTAAGCTTCAGTTTCCCCATTTCAAAAATGAGACTTAATACTGCCTACTTATCAGATGATATAATGCATGGGAAACATTTAGTATGGTCCCTGGCATACAGTAAGCCCTCAATAAATGGCAGGATTATGATGATGCTAATGATACTGATGATTATAGTAATAACCATTGGTGATCCCTTTAGATTTTTTTTTTTTAGCATAGAGTACTTCTTTATTTCTTTAATATTTTTTTATACAGGGTCTAGTGGAGATTAAAGGACAGAAGCTATTTAGCTCAGGATGAAGATAAACTGTGAAGCACTATACATGGCTTTGTGAATTACCATAGCTCTGTCCCTCAGCCTCAGCTATGGTAATTTACAGAGATTTACCCTACAAAGTCTGACACAGTCACCTGACATCACCTGACACACCTCAAACTAATAGCTGGGGAGTGCTTTTTATTCAACCACACACACCCCTGCACAGAAAATAGCAACTCCCATTCCTTCCCTGTCCTCAAAGGATCACCAATGTTTTGTAAACATTTCAAATGTTAGGAATATTTTTATTTCCTTTGAATGGACTTGCAGCAGCAGGAGTGAAATGAAATAGTGAGTGACGAGCCCTGGAATGCTGGTTACTAAGAAGACCGAGATAACTGGAGAAGGGGACACAGCAGCAGTCTGATGTTATTCAGCAGATGCGAACAGGTGCTCCGGTGGAGTGAGGAGGCCAGGGGGGAGGGAGACGGGAGAGGAAAGGAATCAAAGAGAATCTCGCACCTGCCAACCTGACACCTTCAGCCGCCTCTCCTGTGATGCCTGTTCCCAGCACTCTTCCTCCACCCAAACACAACCACCTGCCTTTTCTGCCCCCTCTGTGCTCACACTATGGTTATGGAACCATTGCTCTGTATTTTCATTATTTATTGACCCACCTCCCTTCTTGGTTACAAACCAGTGGGATCTACTAAGGCAGGGACTGTGGTGGTGGTCTTTTCCTCACTACTTCCCTATAAATTGGGGACCACAACAGCACCTTTCCTTGCCAAGGGGAGTAAATCTGATAACAGAGGTAAAGAGCTTATCAGAGTGCCTGGCACAAAGGACGTTCTCAAGTAAGTGTAAGTATTAGCTGCTATTATTACTAATTGTTGTCTTGAAGCACTAATTTTACACTGGGTGCTCTGCTAGACCCTTCACACACTAAAGCAATAGCCCGTGAGGCAGGAATCACTACCCTACTTTACAGATGAGGGGCCTGGGGCTGAGACGATAAGCCACTTGTCCAAGTCACACGGCTGTCAAGTGCCAGAGCCAGCATTTGAACCGAGGTCTGTCTGACGCTAGAGCCCTGGGGACGGCACTGGACACCAACACTGCAGCTCAGACTTGTTCCGTCCCTCTTCGCTGCCTGGTTCCCCCGGCTGGTGACAGTCACAGTGTCTTTTCTGATAGATCATGGTCCAGGACTATTTTACAGAGGATGAGGCTGAGACCCAGAGAAGAGAAGTGATTGCCTAAGATCCCAAGCTAGTGAGGCGAGACGCTAGGAGCAGAGGGCTGGGCTCCTGCCTCTCAGCCTTGCTGTGTTATTCTGGTGCCAGTTCTGCTCAGAAGGATGGCCAATAAATACCTGTTGAACTGCACTGCCAGGCGCCTAATATGCACTGTACTTATTTCATCCCCACATCAATCCTGCAAGGTATCATGGGCCGTGTTTTTCAGATGAGGAAGCAGACCTGCACATGAAATAGGCTAGATAAACTCGGCGCCTGCACAGGGTGTGGGATGCCTTTTTCAGCAGCCCCAGGTGGAGGGGGAGCCCTCCTCCTATATGAACAACCCAGGGGTGAGACTCCTGGTGGTATCCAACAGATGCTGTCAGGGCCCTGGGCCCTTCCAGCTGCTACCCAGACCAGTTTGGTAAGAATGAGGCAGAATTACACAGCAAATCATGGCTCGCCAATATCTAGCTATACCTGGAGCCCGTGTAAAAAGAATGTACACAGACACCTGTGCCAGGACATGTAGCTCAACCTATGTGACATGCATGGCAGGAGCCAGGAGACCACGTAGCTCGGCCAGAAGAGCACTGGACCTGGAAGCCCTGGGTTCTAGCCCAGGCCCTGTCGACAACTCACTGAATAACCTCAGCCAAGCTCCTTTCCCCATCAATTACAGAGTCTTGTCTTTACATGAAACCTGACAGGCAAGATCAATACATAAATCTGGGAAAAGCAGAGCTCCTGGGGAAGGTCAGCAGGATAAGGCTTAGTTTTCCATTTGGTAGATGGTGACCTGAAAGGCTAAGGGCTTAGGGTAACTCGGGGGAGGAAGGCCAGGGATCACCACATCAAATCACAAAGAGAAAGCTAGCCTGCGGGTCCACACCCCTCCCAGGCCTCTAATGAGAGCCGATGGCCTCGCCCATCACAACTCCCACTCCCTCCACCACAGGATCTAGATCCACAGCTGGAGTGGAGATGGAGGTGCTGGTGGAGGGAGAGGGTGTGGCCCTCCTTTAGACCGGAGGAGGGGGGTCCCCCTGGCTCTGGGAGGTTGACGAACAATAAAGCTCCAGGATCTACTGCTTGGAATTGATCCTACAGAAATAGTTATGGATGGGAGCAAAGATTTAGTTTCAAGGATGGTTCCCCAATGATAGGGGCGGATTAGATACATTTTGGATTCTGCATACATTGGCACACAGTGCACCCATTTAAGTGACGTTGTATGAGAATATGAAATGATGGAGAAAGATGCTCATGATGTATTTTTAAGTAAAAAAAAAAAACCAGTATGATTACTACCTCGGTTTTGTAAAAATATTTCTTTATATATAGAAAAATGACTAGAAAGACGTTAATACTTTAGGCTTGGAAATTAAAGATTTCCCTCCTAGTTTCTGGTAGTTTCCCCTCCCCCTACTTTTTTAAGTGATAAAATTACAGTGCTACCCATACTATGTAAAAAAATCCAAACAACAGAGAAGTACTAGATATTCCCCACATGACCCCAATCCTCCCCTAAGGATAATCAAAATTTTTTCTTCTTTTACTTCTCCATATTTTCTAAGTTATTCATAATGAACACATATTGCTTTTGCAAAATGTAAGAGAAAACAAAATTTTACAAAGAATAGCAAGCAGTGGTCTGAGGTACAGTTGGCCGGGCTGGGCCCCGTACAGAGTTTAGAAGACAGAGCCTGAGGAGTCTCTGCTCAGGGGCAGTTGATCACTGGGCGCCCGAGACTCCTTCTGTCCCCATGAAGTTCCAGTAGCTAGTGAGAGATCTGGAGTATTGTGTGGTGCACACAAGAGGCCTGGGTATGACATCAACTCCCTTTCCTCCTCTACATCAAACTAAATGTTTATAGATATCACCTGGTATTGCAGAAAGAGGCTCAAGGAGCATGAACCCCAGCTCTGCCTCTGCCTAGCTGTGTGACCTGGAGCAAGTGACTTAACCTCTCTGAGCCTCCAATTCCTCCTCTGATAACTGGGATGCTAATACTCCCCTCACAGGGCTGGGTGATTGTGAGGATTAAATGACCGGCATATGGAGGTGTTCAGTAACGAGCAGCTTCTTTCTGTCTTTCTGCCCATGTCGGGCACCAACCAGCAGATGGGTCTCTGAGAGCAGCATCTTGAGGCCCCTTCACAAAACACCCCCCCTTCACGGCCTCGTGGTCCAGCCCCCGGACTCCCGTCAGGGCTGGGCATAAACCACCCCCCCGTACAGGCCTCTAGACATCCAGATGCCCTGTACGTTGGGCGATGTGTCCTGGCAGCACTGATTCTTCCCAATAGCCAGCCTCCTGCTGCAACATGAGCATGGCTCTCCTGGACAAGCCACCTGGCCGCAGCCACTTACATTTTGGCCTCGTAGTCCTTCCACGCCTTCTCCAGCTGCTTTTTGGAGTCCTGTGGTTTAAAAAGAACAATTTGCCCACAGGGCGCTTGGCGTCTGGAATCAACAGCACAGTTTGCTAGTTAGGGGGACCCTGCGCCTGCATGCCCCCCATGCTGCTCAGAGCCACACTCCAACCAACCCCTGCCCCCACAGCCCTGCCTGCAAACCTGACCCCCAACAACAGACCGAACCGACCCCATTTCTCAGGGCTGAGTCCCTCCTCCCACCTGACCTCCCACAGTTGTCAAGAATCAGTGGGGTTTGGTGGGCCTGGGCCTGGGGTATGGGAGATTTTTGGGGTCTGCCGTGTGCCCTATCCCTCAGAAGGTGGAGATCACCATGAGGAGGAGGATGGGAGGATGAAGGTCAGACTCCTCCCCTGACTTTATCCCAGCGTTTTCTCCTGCCTGCAAATAGATCATCCTCTCAATAGGAAGGTACAGGTGGAGGGACATACACAGAGAGAGGCTCAGAAGTCTACTCAAGGCCACACAGCAAGCCAGTGAGACCTGGCTGATCTCTGGCCTAGTTTGGGCCTCATCCAGCCAGGTGCTCACACCCTTCAGGACGCCCCGCCTTCCCAGGTGCCCCAGTCAGCCAGGTGAAAAAGCTGCCCGTCTGGTTTGGGCGGTTCCCAGCGGAGGGCAAGGAGGGAAGCCTCTGGGGGGCACAGCTCCTCCCCTGGGCCTTCGGCGACCGACTTCCCAGGGAGATTATTCTGTCATCTTCTTTGAGCTGCACTCTGCCTGGAGCTGGGGCTGCCAGGTGCAGAGAGAGCAACCAAGCAGGGGAGTTGGGAGCCGGGGCCCCACACTGGCTCCTCCACTGACTGGCTGTGTAAACTGTAAGCAGGTTACCAAACCCCTGAGCCTCGATTTCCTCAACTGCAAAATGGGGCCAATAGTACCTAGAGAACCCACCTCACAGGGCTGTTGTAAGAATAACATGAGCTATTTCACATACGGGCCATGATGGATAGTAGGTCAGCTATCCTAGGCTGACCCCAGAGCCAGTCCTCCTGACCTGAGGGTCAGTAATATGAGGTCTCCCACTGCTTGGCCTCTGTCCTCAGCCCAGCCCTGCCTCCCCTGTGGCCTCCTGCCCGCCCCTTTCTCGCTCCATCCCACCACCCCTGGGCACCCCTGCTCCCCGCAAGGAAACTCACCTGTCGCCCATCCCTCAGCTGCCCCTTCAACAGACTGTCCAGGGGGAAAGAGACAATGTTGTTCAGGTTCTGAACCTGGAAAAAGCAGAGACCCCCATACCCCACCTTGGGTGACCGTCTGTCCAGCCCCAAGGAGCTCAGGGTACAGTGAAGCGTCACAAGGCGAAGGACAGCACCGGGGTACAGAGGCAGGGGGAGGACAGCACCGGGGTACAGAAGGCAGGGGGAGGACAGCACCCGGGTAATGAGGGCGGGGGGAGGACAGCACCAGGGTACAGAGGGCAGGGGGAGGACAGCACCCGGGTAATGAGGGTGGGGGGAGGACAGCACCGGGGTACAGAGGGCAGGGGGAGGACAGCACCCGG